AAATTAATAGTATAATAATATATATATATATATATATATATATATATATATATACAATAATGAAATATTTTTAATAATTGGAAATTTAAACCATTAATAATTAAAATTCATATCGATCGCCTATTGCAATATGCGAAGTAATTTATTGTAATACCTGTTACAATATGCAACGTAATTAATCATGAAATTATTGCATACTTTATTTAATGAAATGATAATGTGTAATTTGATACATATTGTACGTATTATTTCGATAATGAAGTAGAAAATAGTCGAGGGATAGCAGTTTGAATTGATATTAGCTCGAACAATTATCATCTTTTGGCTTGTCGATACGTTGTCATACGATGCAAATAAATTAAAACTGATTCTGGGTCGAATAATTAAAACAAAGGGAAGCGAGATGCAACAAAATCTGACTTGCGATGAAACTTGAAGAAGAAGGCAAGAAAGAAGAGGAAAAAGCAAAGTAAGTCGTAATCTCGGAATTGTTAGAACAATGAGCAATTTAAATTAAAAAAGGATTGAAGTAAACGAACAAAAGAAGGAAAAAACATACTGTTAGAAAATAGAATCCCATGTGATAAGAAATCTGGATCGAACGCTTTAAAAGTATGAAGGAATCTATAGAATGGAAGAAAGAGAGAAAGAGAGGGAGAGTGACTGAAGAAAAATAGAAGTGTTTACAAGAAAAGGGGACAATAAGGGTTGCACTGGAAACAAAGAAACCGGGGGAAAGAAGTAGAATACGAGAACAAAGAGAAGACTTAGAGAGTTGAAGAAGTGGTAGGAGCATGAAGAAGAAGAAAAGAAGAGAAGAAGAAGAAGAAGAAGAAGAGGGCAGTGCTTATATAAAAGTTGAAAGAAAACACAGAAGCTGTCGGTGGTGGCTGAAGGAGGCGCGATGATAGCGAGGCTTGGTGGTGGTATTAAGTGCTCTTTTGCTGGGCACAGACATCTAGGATGATGATGAAAGCGCCCCTTTATTACTTTCTTGTAGTAGGTGCGATTTGAATTTCAAGTAAACGCTTGGCCAATCTAGTCGATTTCTCGAAAACGAAAGATCGATTTTCGTTGGTCGGGAAAGACTATTAATTCCAAATAAATACCTTCGCTCTTATTTCTTCGTTCTTTCTAATAATAAAATGACGAACACACTTAAGCTTTCATAATTGTAATTTGCTTGAGGTATTTTCTTCTTTGTTAAAGATGGAATTTTTCATTTTTTTACAAACTTCATTATCGCATAGTATATCGATGCAGATTATTTCAGACTTATTCTGTAAATTGTTTTCATAATTAAAATTTTATAATTATTGTTTTTTTATTACACATCTTCAGTTTAATTAAACTATTATATTACGGATGAAGTATAAAATTGAATGCATCGCAAACTGGATTTAAAATATAACAAATGTTAACATCATTGTATACTGCTGTATATCATTAATGAAAAGTTATTGCTCTTCTACTAATGAGCCATTTAGTTTCATACGCGTAAAAAGTTTAATTACAAATTATTTCTCTTTACCACGTACATTCATTTTCCATGGAATTAAAACAAAGAACTCTAAAATGTAACCTAAATGTTTAAAGCAGTTCAAATAATTCCCCAAAATTCTCTTTCAATTTTCGAGGGAAGAGATAAAGAGCGAAGAGTGAAAGAATTTACTATCCCTTCAATTCCGAGAAGAGAATTCCGAGTCGCGATAGTACTTGCTCACGGTATCTGGATGCAATAAGAATCAAGGTCTCCGGCTATTTACCCGAGAACTTAGACGAGTTGGAAACGCTTTCGGATGCAGCATCTCGATTTCTCGATCCGGAAACCCGTGTTGCAGCGCGAAAAAACCGTTCTCCACCCCTTTCCCTATTTTCCTCTTTTTCTCTCGTTCTCCTGATATCCTAAACCACCCTGGAAGGAACGATGATCCTTCCCCCAGTTTCTTGCCATTGCGACGACCCGCTCCTCCAACAGAAACTGTCGATATCTTTCGGTTTCTTTCTCGTTCTCTGGCCGGTGAAAGAGCCGGAATATTGAAGTTTTCGGTCAGTGCCCGATTTTAACTATACGACCGTATCTCCGACGAGCACCGAATCCAGACTCGACTCGGCTCGACTCCACGAGGAAAGAGACGTGAAAACTGGGCTGGTTGGCAGAGGATGGCTTGGAAAGTGAGCGAAACAGATAGAAGACCGGAAAGGAGACGGATAGGATCGGAGAGTTGCTGGAAAAGAGAATAGTAGAAACGAGAGAAGAGAGAGAAATAATCAGGTATAAGAATCAAAGGGGGGAGAGGAAGTGGATGGAGAAAGAGAGAGAGAGATTGCAAGTAAACGAAGCCCTTTTGACTTTCTGGGTCAGGAAAGTCGATTACTCGGCACCCCAGCGCCTGGGAGAAGCTCTTAACTCTTCCCCAAAGTGTAAACAAGCTTTGATGCTGGGTGCGCATAAATCTAACGGGTGTATCGTTACTTTCTTGGGTTAAACCTTTCATGGATGCTCGATCGGTGTGATTAATAATTGCTCTCGAATAATAATAAATAGTTTACTTCTCTCTAGTGTTGTCTTTCCTTTGAATTTATGAAAAAAGTTCGTTAAGTGAAGAGGAGCAATGGCTTTTTATTGCAGCGGTATATAATATAATACTATATATGCATTTAATCTAAATACAATATATAATTTTATTTCGATTATCGATGAATCCTTACATATTTTCAAGAAACGAATCACATTAAGCACTATTTTATTTCAAAATTTACTCGATAATTATAGCACCAGTTCAATTATCAATCTGATCTACGATCAAGTATTACACTATAGCACAATAGCGAATCAAACTGTTTTTTATCGAGTTGGCAAAAGTCGAGTTGCGACACCCGGTAGACAGGGAAGCGAGCACGTAGCGAGGAACGACCGCCCGCAGAAGGTTTTGCAACAGAAATCATAATAATTACTAATTAAGCAACAGGCGCACTTGAATCCGTAATTACTGCTCCCTTGGCACAGCTACAATTTTTAATTATTACGAGCCACCCGGCGGGGAACAATCTGAGTGCCTGCCTTTCCTACGTATGAAACACTTGTGCATGTGCTTTTTTTTCCCCCCTACCTGGTCCCTCCCCCTCTTCCAAAAGACAGTCACAGCTTTCTATTCTTCCGTCGTGCGCTCGTTAATACGTGAAAAATATTTGTATATTCTTTTGCACTTCGAGGGAATGCAATGTCGTTGGCGACAAGTCACGATCCCGTTTTAATTGTTTTAATTGGATTATGATTAGAAGAAGTTAAATTAGGTTGTTGCGTTAATAGATTGGAACGTAGAGGGATGTTTCGAATGCCGATATCTATTGACATAGTAGGATAATTTACCGGCTAATTAAAGTATGCTTCTGTGGAATGTAGAGCATGGATCGGGAGAAATCTGTTAATAAGCTTAACACGAATCCATCATTGAAACCGAAGTGTGCTTCTGAAATCGAGGTTTAGTGTCCTTCGTTCCCCATAAATTCCCCGACTATCTCATTCCTCATATTGTTATTTTAGATTACTAAGCTTTTTCCATTAAATATGAATATCATAGTCTCAATTTATTGTATTAATCGTAGTTATCTTTCGAGAAATATCTATCGAGATATTTTCGTGAAAAACGTGAAAATTATTCGAAGCAATGTAAGGAATATGATTTTCGACCGAGAACTATCGTGGAAGGATAATAGTTCTTTGCATTGTTAATAATAAGTGATATTATTCTTCTTCATATTTTCTTTATAGCTTAAAATGGGACCGAATTGGAGAGTTTGAAAAAAAAAGTAATTAAAAGGAAAAAACATGACAAAATAT